AATACGAGCGCAGCATCGGTAACGCAAGGTTTATGAAGAGCATCCGCGGACGGCACGAGCATGGCGTCGTCTTGGTCAAGGTCTTGGTAAAGCCCTATGCTGGAGTCAATCTCGATCAATACAAGCAGAGGATAATTGGTGAGCATTTCCCTTTTGCTTAACGTGGCCAATGCCAACGTCGGTGTTAACAGATCGCGACAGAGGAGCGCAAGGCTTTGGCCCAAGTCCCCAACGCCCTCGGGTTCCAGCGTATCGTCGAAACCGACACGAACGGATATTTGGTGCGACAGTTTCAATATAGCTCACTTTATGATCGGTTAAGCACACGTCCATTTTTGGAAGACATTGAAAAGAAGTGGTTGGCATTCCAGCTGCTCTGTGGGCTGCGAGACTGCCATGCCCACGACGTTTATCACGGCGATATCAAAGCACAGAACGTCTTGGTAACGTCTTGGAACTGGCTATACCTGACCGACTTCTCTTCTGCGTACAAACCTGTGCTATTACCCGACGACAATCCGGGCGACTTCTCCTACTTTTTTGATACCTCTGGCCGGCGAACATGTTATATTGCTCCCGAGCGATTCTACGCTACAGGAGACAGCCCTCCACCCAAGGCTAAGATGACATGGGCCATGGATATTTTCAGTGCTGGTTGCGTAATTGCCCAAATGTTTCTCGAGTCGGAAATATTCAGCCTTGCCCAATTGTACAAGTATCGACGTGGTGAGTATGATCCCGTCATCACCCATTTGAGCGTCATCTCGGACAAGGATGTTCGGGACATGATTGCGCACATGATTCAGATCGACCCAGAGAAGCGCTACTCTGCAGAGCAGTATCTCGAATTTTGGAAGGGAAAGGTGTTCCCAAGCTATTTTTACAACTTTTTGCACCAGTATATGGAGCTTGTCACCGACCCATCATCCGGCAATAGTCCTATGTCTGGGAGTCAGAGGAACATGGGCGAGTCAGACGACAGGATTGATCGCGTCTTCTACGATTTCGACAAGATTTCCTACTTTTTGGGGTACCAACTTGACAAGAGGGCACCCAGGGCCACTTCGTGTAGATCTCGACTGAGCCTGAGCCATTTCCCAGTCCGATTAAGCATCCCGAATCACGAGCATACAGTATCAGCCGACCTAGAGCCTCCAGAAGATGATGGGACTTTAATATTCTTGACACTTATTGTATCTTCAATGAGAACCACGGCGCGAGCATCTTCTCGAGTTCGAGCTTGCGACATTCTTCTGGCATTTTCTGAACGACTGACTGACGAAGCAAAACTTGATAGAGTTTTGCCCTATATCATGACCCTACTTAAGAAGGAGGAAACAGATTCTGTCATTGTGGCGGCCATTCGAACAATCACCCAGCTGCTCCAGCTTGTGCGTATGCCGACACCCATCAACTCCCACGTACTAGTCGAGTATGTACTTCCTCGTCTGGAGATTGCATTGGGGTTACGGTCGCGTGTCGCTAGCTCTCTGGTGAGAGCTACTTATGCTTCCTGCATAGGAAGTCTGGCCTCTACAGCCCAACGTTTCCTCGAAATCGCGTCTAGCTTACCGGCAGACGGGTCCATACCCATCACTGACCCCGAAGTAGAGCCAGGCGCAGAGGCAGAAGCTAATTTCGAAAGCGTGTTTGACAATGCTGGACGAGAGCTTTTTGAAATTTTGGAGAGCCACACCAAGCAGCTCGTAGAAGACCCCGATGTCCATGTTCGAAGAGCTTTTTTGGCATCTGTGCCTGAGCTATGCATGTTCTTCCAAGAACACTCCAACGATATATTACTCACCCACCTGAACACTTATCTCAACGACCATGACTGGACGCTCAAATGCTCATTTTTCGATACTATTGTCGGAATTGCTGCTTTCATTGGTAGTACAAGCCTGGAAGAGTTCATGCTACCCCTTATGGTGCAGGCTTTGGCTGACACTGAAGAGTACGTGGTCCAGGCGGCCCTACATTCACTTGCACAGCTTGCTGGCCTTGGCCTTTTGTCAAGGCCAAAAACTTGGGAACTTGTAGACCTTGTTGGACGGTTTACTATGCACCCTAACATTTGGATTCGAGAAGCCGCTGCCGAGTTTTTATCACAGTCTGCCAAATTTCTCAACGTGGCAGATGTGCGATGCATCCTCCTGCCACTTATCGTGCCCTATATGAAGATCGACACGATGGCTGATCTTGGTGAATTGAGCATATTAGATTCGCTCAAAAAACCCCTGACGAGGGCTGTGTTTGAACAAGCTATCACGTGGGCGACACAGTCTGAACGGGGCGTTTTCTGGAAACCGCTGCAAAAGATGCAATCGCGGGCGTTTGGGTCGTCAAGTGCTAGATTTTCCAGGGACCTGAGCGCGAATTCCATGGCCAAGATTGTTCGTAACGACGAAGATGAGCAGTGGCTATCCAGGTTGAGGAATTTGGGCCTCAAGCCAGATGATGAATCGAAATTATTGGCACTACGAGAATTCATCTGGCGGCTGAGCAGAAGTAAACTACGTGATTCTGCAGGAGAACCGAGCCTATATACGGGACTTGTATCCCTCAAGGAGTTAGGCATTACTCCTCAAACCGTCTTTTTCAACGACGCGCCTCTTCGCGATTCGAGCATTACCCCCGACCTTGACACGCCCGCTGGGCCATATACTATTGCCGACGCACTGTTGGACGCGTCGATGACGATTGATGATACCCTGAGTAAGAGGAGAAAGGCTGTGCTGCATACCCATGTGAACCGTGTGCAGAGCGTGGGTGCTCGTCCATCGCCAAAGAGGCGTTTTTTGTCACCGGGGGGAAGTACTCGAACTAGTTCACAACATTCTCGCCGGGAGTCGTCTGACGGCAGACCAGGTGGTGCTAGGGATGACGATGTCTTCATTAGGGATGGGCCGTACGCATCAAGGAGAACAATGCGTCACCAGTCCAGTGCATTGAGCCTCCTGGATAGAAGGGATGGCAACAAGTCTGCCGCAGAAACTAGCACAAGCGATGCTAATGCCTTTGGCGAGGTAGAGGGACCTTTTGCCCAGGGGAGTGCATCAACATCTCCTACACCAACTCGACAGCACGAAGGTGGCAAACTAGCTCCAAGACAAGCCAGACATACCTACGAAGGGACAGATCCCAATATTCAACGAATGCTGGACCAGATGTACATCGACAACTTTCCCCGAGATGTCTTGGAGTTTGGGCCCATGGTCCAGCCCATTGCGAGAAGCAAGGCAAGGGCTGTCGGTATACAGCCCGGAGATGATTACTGGAAACCAGAGGGTCATCTGGTTGCCACGTTTGGGGAGCACAAGGGTCCAATCAATAGAATTGTTGCATCTCCCGACCACGTCTTCTTCATTACTGGAGGCAACGACGGCTGTGTTCGAGTGTGGGATGCAGCAAGACTGGAGAGGAATATTACACACCGATCTAGACAAACACACAAACACGCCGATGGCGCTCATGTGCTAGCAATGTGTTTTGTAGAAAACTCACATTGCTTCGTTAGCTGTGCCAGCGACGGCAGCGTGCATGTCGTCAAGGTTGACACAATATCTGCAAGTGGCGTTATTCGATATGGCAAACTGCGAGTTGTACGAGAATACCAACTACCCGAGGGAGAATTTGCCGTCTGGTGTGAACACTTCAGACACGAATCGAACTCTGTCTTGGTTCTCGCCACAAACCGGTCCCGGATTCTCGGAATTGATTTGCGGACCATGTCGGTCTTGTATGTTCTAGAGAATCCAGTCCATCATGGGGCACCTACTTGCTTCTGCGTGGATCGAAAACGCAATTGGCTTTGTTTGGGTACGTCACATGGTGTTGTCGACCTTTGGGACTTGCGTTTCAAGATGAGGCTTCGTGGCTGGGGCGTACCGGGCAAAGGATCGATATATAGAATCTGCATCCACCCTACCAAGGGCCGCGGCAAATGGGTATGCATCTCTGGGGGCACATCACAAGGAGAGATAACTGTATGGGATCTAGAAAAGACGCTCTGCAGAGAGATATACCGAACAAGCGGAAACAGGGATGGCCCCAAGGGCTACAGCGCTTGGGACGTTGACGAAGACAAGCCGGAAGGAATGCTGGACCGGTTTGCAACGAACCTGGAGAATAGCGAAGCGCCGAGTGCCGATCGGGGCGTACGAGCCATGATAGCCGGCACAGGAGCCGCCGAGGACTCTCGGGATATCCGCCATGCATTCCTGCTCACGGGTGGATCAGACAAAAAGCTTCGATTCTGGGACATCTCTCGCATCGAAAATTCATGCATCTACAGCGGCCAACCATCCGATGAGCAACAACCCACGTTTATTGCAACACACCCAACGACTGCTGTCGCATTGAATATAGAAAAAGCACATAGACATGGGTCTTCGGGAAACACGACCGCTGCAGGAGAGAGGCCAAGGGGCAAGAGCTCGAGTAGGAGACCAGCGAGGTCGACGGTAATATCTATGCAGCAGCAGCAGCTTTTGCAGTCCCATCTGGATGCCATTTTGGATGTAATGTTGTTAGAGTATCCTTACACGATGAGCGTGAGTGTGGATCGGTCGGGCGTGGTGTTTGTATTCCAATAGAGGTTCATAGGATCGGTGGTAAAAGATAGTTGACAATGAGACCCAAAACCTATCTAAATCTGGTACTAGCGACAGTCCGGCAGAACGCTTCAATTGGTGCTGATGGTAACTACTAGGTAGTTATCACCGTAGAACTATGCATCCATCGACTCCTGCATCCATGGGGAGCCCAAAGCGGCAAGACATCATGTGGGGCACCCAAGCCTGCCTAAGAAACCAAAATTTCCCCTCCGCCTCGTCACAACCTCAGCCTTGCCAATGTTAAAAAGTACCCTTCATCCCTCGATAACGCGCCGTGAATCGCCCCTGGCTACCCGAATCTTCGTTGTCCTCCTGGGTATCAGCTTCCACTCGAGTGGTGCGCGGAACAGCGACACGCCCACGGGGTAAAATCAAGTTTTCGCGATGCGGCTCACCAGCGAGCTCATCCACGATTCCCTGTCCTATCTCAACCCGCTCAAGGAGCGCGAATTAGACCTTCGAGGTGCGTTTATGAAAAGAGCAGATGCTACATCTTTTTCTTCTTGCTATATAAAAAAAGAAAAATCTTGATCATGAAGAGCTAGTTGATGCCAATGTCGTTGGTCTACAGGACGTAGGATCCCTGCGATTGAGAACCTTGGTGTGGCGGGCGTAAGTATTTTTCATCTGTTGATTCTGTTGTGCATTGGCCGAGCTTTGCACCTCCTGGATGCAGAGGTCAATCAGTTGCTAACAGGAGCAACAGCCACATGATTCCATCGACTTTACAGACAATGATATACAAATCCTAGGCAACTTCCCCCTCTCACCGCGCATAACGACTCTTCTCTTGGCAAGGAATCGTATCGCCAGCATCCAGGCTAGTCTACCGAATGCCGTGCCGAACCTGAAAAATTTGGTGCTGGCATCGAATAATTTTGCAGAATTGGCGGATTTGGATACGCTCAAGGGGTTTGAGAGGCTGACTCATTTGGTCTTGGCGGACAACCCGGTGACGAAGAAGGAGGTATGTGTCACAGCCGTCTTCCCGGTTGGGATCACGTTGGAGATGACGATGCTGACCTTGTGTTTAGCACTACCGTTACTGGGTCCTTTGGAGATGTCCCACCGTCCGCTTTTTGGACTATTGCAAAGTAAAGGAAGCTGAGAGGGAGCGAGGACGAGAGTTGTTTGGGACCGAAGAAGAGCCCACGGCCTTGGCGTTGGAGGTGAGAGCTGGTAGTTGATTTGATATTCACGTTAACTCTGCTAACGAGATTCCGTATAGATTTTGGGCAAGAAGTCCAAGACGTTTGACATCGCAGCTAATGGCGCAGCACAATCCTCCAAACTGTCCAGAATAAAACTCACAGAAGACGAGAAGAAGCGGCTACAGGAAAAGATAAAAAAGGCTACGAGTTTGCAGGAAATCATTGCTTTGGAAAAGGAGTTGAACGAGGGGCGGTTGCCGGCTGGCATTCACGCCGATGGCATGGAGGAATAGGCGTTTCAGGTATATCGACAATTTGGTTCCTTAGAAAAATGGCGTCATTACCGGTTTCACTGTGGAGAAGAAACCCGTACCAGGCTGAAGTAGATTAATGGTTCTATCTGAACCTGCTATTCAGAGAAATACAACCCAATCCGAATACTCTGCATTCATTTCGAGACCCATGTTCCGCGAACAGCGTCTTGTCAGGAACGTTGGCACAGGAACCCATTGCTCCCCAACACCGGGTCCTTTAACCCGTCATGCGTACATCCCCGTCTCTCCCTGTAGCCTGTCTCATTTCCATCTCCAACTGCTCATTCGGATCGTCACCACTCTGTCTGTCATCATTCCTCAGAGGGACTGTAAAAGCACCCCCAGGCGGGCCACTGCCGTTCACAACCAGACCCCCTCCTCCCCCGTTGGTTGTGGCGGAAACTTGCGGGGAGGACTCTGGCCGTTCCTCGGGTATTTTGAGATCCCCCCTCAGACGGGCCTGCGTTGCCAACGCGGTGGCCTTGACCTTTTTATAGGAGGCTGTTTTGGGGACCACGTCTTCCAGAAATTCAAGGTTGTCGTGGGTTGACACGGCATTGGCTGTCTGGTGTCAGCCCTCGGGTAGGATTTGGGTACTGGTATGAAAACTTACCGACGTCCTTGTATTGGATGTTGCGGCGAGGCTTCCGCTCTAGTTTTGCCTGAGTGTTGGCTTCCTCTGCGAGGTGCTGGATGAACATTTCCTGGGTGACGCGTCAGTCGAGACGGGGAGGGCTAGACCGCATGGAATGAAGTACCGCTGCGAGAGTGATGACGAAGGCGGCGTTGTTGGAACACATGGCTATGTCTGAGTCCTGGTTGATGATTTTCTTGACGCGCGATACTGGGGTATGTTAGTTGAGCGATTGGGGACGAGGATGAGGACGGGGAATGGAGGACTTACATGGGAGTTGGGTTTGTCCCGTGGGCTCCTTGCGTGGAGGAATGGCATTGGTGTTGTACGGCATTGCCGATGAGAGGCGGTATGGTGTGTCTGCAGTGGAAAGATTAGTGCCATGTGCTGAGGAAAATGAAGACAATCTCGTGATGATGGGATAGATGAGATGCGGGCCGTACAGATATATTATTTTTTGGGGAGAAATGCCTTAGTTTGGCTGTTCGAGGAAATATTAGCCTAGTATGGGATGAAGATGGAAGATGGAAGGCATACGGACCAGAAGTAATCCCACTGTTGATGGGCTTGTAGTACCTTGCCGTGTTTCGGGGTAGGATTATGTATACATGTGCTGAATATTTCAACTTTTTTCAATACGGCCTCGTGAGGATGAATTGTACGTGACTTGAAAGTGGAAGCGCGATGCGGCGTGGATACCAGTTGAATGCATGCACTCAATACGGAGTTGAACGGAGTCTAACGCGACGGAGCATGAGGCTCTGCAGGGGGCCTGGTGTGGCTTGAAAGCAGGGATGTTGAGGACGCGCCACACTTGGCGACCGCCGGTGGCTGCTCGACCGGCTTTAGCACTGTCCCGGGCGAGAGTACGCCGTAACAGTGCGCTGGAGCTTTTGAACAGACCAGACATTCCCGAGACATCCATGTCGAAGCCGACCACCTACGACATCACCGCCAACCCTCGAACCCTCGAACCCTCGAACCCTCAAGCTCTTGATTGCTCCTCCCACTGCCAACAAACACCCATACCATAGATGGCCGCCATGGTTTACACCCCGGAATCATGAGCGTGCAGTCTTCATCCTACGGCCGGAACCTTGGCCCCGTGCGGCGCTCCTCTATCGGCTCTCGTCTCTCCTTTGCCGTGTCGACAGTTGAACAAGGCGTTGCCAGCATCCCGCCACCCGGACAGGCGCAGATCGAGGAGGAGATTGCGGAAATCAAGAGATATGAGGTATGCGACGCCATTGCAAGACAGCCAAGCACACCATTTTGCTGACCCGTGCTCAACAGGACTTTACAACAATAGGTACCCGACACCGTAGTTGCAGCTTGCAGTGCATGTCAGGACTGACTTTTTGTGTGTAGACTGGGTCCAAGATGCCTCCCGCGAACAGGCACGGCGAAAAACGAGACAGAAGCGAGCAGCGGGCTTGTACGACCGTGGACAGCAGGGCTGGCGATATCGCCTCTGGGCCTCATATGACGCTGCGCAGGGCTGGATCGTCGTCACTATTATTGGCGCAGCCATTGGCTTGAATGCAGCGTTTTTAAACATTGTGACCGAGTGGCTGTCTGATATCAAGTTGGGGTACTGCACAACGGCGTTTTATCTGAATGAGAAGTTCTGCTGCTGGGGGGAAGATAATGGTGAGTATGCGGGAATGCCTGCCGTACACCTTGTTTACTGACACCGGGCGGTAAGGATGTCCCAGTTGGCATCGTTGGACGGGCTTTGGGCCGTTGAACTACTTTTTATATTTCATATTTGGGGTACGTATTGGCCAGTCTCTTGTTGCGCACGGCAACTGACATTGGCTAGACTTGCTTCGCATTCGCAGCCGCTATTCTCGTCAAATCCTTCGCGCCATATGCCGCCGGGTCTGGAATTTCCGAAATTAAATGTATCATTGCGGGCTTCGTCATGAAGGGGTTCCTCGGCCTTTGGACTCTGATCATCAAATCTGTAGCTCTTCCGCTGACCATTGCGTCTGGTCTGTCTGTCGGCAAAGAAGGGCCCAGCGTCCACTATGCCGTCTGTACCGGCAACGTCATTTCGCGATGCTTCGCTAAATACCGGCGCAATGCGTCCAAGACACGAGAGATTTTGAGTGCCTGTGCCGCAGCCGGAGTCGCAGTCGCATTTGGTAGCCCCATCGGAGGCGTTTTGTTCTCCCTGGAGGAAATGTCGAACCACTTCCCGCTCAAAACCATGTGGCGAAGCTATTTCTGTGCGCTGGTGGCCACGGCTGTCCTCTCAGCCATGAATCCCTTCCGTACAGGACAGCTCGTCATGTTCCAGGTCAAGTATGACCGGGACTGGCACTTTTTTGAAATCATCTTCTACATCATTATAGGCATCTTTGGTGGCCTCTATGGCGCGTTTGTCATCAAATGGAATCTGCGAGCTCAGGCCTTCCGCAAAAAGTACCTCGCCAAGTATGCGGTCCTCGAAGCTACCTTGTTGGCTGCTGGAACAGCCATTATTTGCTATCCCAATGCCTTCTTGCAAATCGACATGACGGAGAGCATGGAGATCTTGTTCCTCGAGTGTGAAGGCGCCGAGGATTATCACGGACTTTGCGAGCCGGATAAGCGGTTCTGGAATATTGCTTCCTTGACCATTGCTACTGTTTTGCGCATATTCCTCGTTATCATTTCGTATGGCTGCAAGGTGCCTGCGGGCATTTTCGTGCCATCAATGGCCATTGGAGCGTCGTTTGGACGTACTGTCGGCATTATCGTACAGGCTATCCACGAAGCAAACCCCAAGAGCATATTCTTCGCCGCCTGCAAACCTGACGAGCCCTGCATCACACCCGGAACATATGCGTTTCTGGGAGCTGGTGCCGCGCTTAGCGGCATCATGCACATCACAGTTTCGGTCGTTGTCATCATGTTTGAGCTGACGGGCGCGCTGACGTATATTTTACCAACCATGATTGTGGTCGGCGTCACCAAAGCCGTTAGCGACATGTTCGGCAAGGGCGGCATCGCCGACCGAATGATATGGTTCAACGGGTTCCCCTATCTAGACCACAAGGAGGAACACAACTTTGGCGTCCCCGTGTCACAGGTCATGAGGACATCAGTGGTGTCCGTGCCCGTCAATGGGATGACTCTGGCCGAGCTGGAAGCCCTTCTCTCCGAGGACGAATATCAAGGCTTTCCCATCGTGGAGGATAAGTCGTCCAAGATCCTAGTAGGGTATATTGGACGAACTGAGCTCCGCTACGCAGTCGACCGCATCCGCCGCGAAAGGCCAATCGACCCCAACGCCAAGTGTATTTTTGCGCCACCGCCCGCTTTGAATGCCGTCACGCCCGTCACGCCCAGCGTCACAATAAGCACAGATTCCACGTCTTCCACGTGCCTCGATTTCAGTCGCTATATCGACGCCACACCTGTCACTGCCCACCCCAGGCTTCCCCTCGAGACCGTCATGGAACTCTTCCGCAAGATTGGCCCGCGTGTTATTCTCATCGAATACCATGGTAAGCTGACGGGCCTGGTCACGGTGAAGGACTGTCTCAGGTATCAGTTCAAAGTGGAGGCTGCCGAGAACCCCAAAGACGACCATCGCATCAACGAAGGCCAGGAGCAGCTGTGGGATGTGCTCCGAAAAGCGGGCTATTGGGTATCAGGTCACATATCGACCATGTCGAGGGGCAGGATACGCCTGAGCAGTGATGAGGATCGGACTCGAGCCCGCGGCACCATTCTAAATGGGGACGAAGATGTAGGCGATGAAGGCGTCGAGTTGGAAAGTCGAAGATGAGAAAAATTGAGAATTGACAACATTGGCGTTGGGCGTCTCATATTATAAATGTGCCTTGATATCTGTCTATCTACCAATCTATATCTATCTACAATGATTGATGACCCGCTTGTACGAAACTTTGTACCCCATCTCAAGCCCAAGTCCTATCTAGACAAGTCCCCCAAATCAGCTACATCCTCGTCCTCATCGCCGTCCTCTTTCAAAAGCGGAATCGTCTCGTCGTTCCGCTCCTCACCCCCAACCTCGCCCGGCGCGTCCTCATCTCCGTCCTCGTCCTTCCTGCCGACAATCACATTCCCAGCGACCAGCAGCGACGCGCCCGCCCACCAAAGCGGGGGCAAGGCCTCTGCGAAAATGAACAGCCCCAGCAGCGCAGTAAGCATGAAGTTGGTAGAAGTGTTGATGATGCTGACCTGCGTGGTGGAGGTCCCCTTTGCGAGGGCCTTGGTGAAGAGCGTCCACATCTGTTCGCCGCAGTCAGCGTCCATCCCCCGGCGGTCGTCTATGAGAAGGAAAGGCGGGCAGAGCGGGTGGGGACTTACAATGCCGTTGAATGTGAGGTTCAGACCGAAGAAGATCTAATCTCGTCAGTTTCAGCACACGCTGTGCTGTTTTTTTTTTGGGGGGGGAGGTATCACGCACGGCGCGGACAGCAACTTCTACAATGTTCTCGTGCGAGGAGAGGGACAAGACGGCGGCCATGTTATGGGCCAGGGTTGATGTGAGTTCCGTAGTTGTTCTGCCCTGTTAGTGCGTTTTTTGGCGTGAGGAGATGTGTGGTTTGTACGTGGATGGACGTACAGCTTTGCAAAGACGCCGTTGAACGCCGCGCAGGCGCCGCTCGCGACGGCGTACATGATCCATTGCGTGCGGGTTGATGCGGGAGTCTGGGGGCCGGAGACCATGGTGGGTGCGGGTTGGGCTGCGGCGCTGGACATCCTGCCGCGACGCTGGCGGACCATGATCTTTGAATCCTGGAGGATGCGGGATGAGTGCTGGATATGGGCGGACTGCGTTGTAAGTTGGTGTTGATGGAGTGGCTTGGACACTTCGAGGCGCCAAGTCCGGAACCCATGGGATGGGCCGGGACGTCTGCATGTCGTGTGGAGAACTTGAGGTACCTCGGGGTCGGTGGGTTTGAACGGCCATCACGACTTTGAATCCGCTTCTTTGCGCAAACGGCAAGTCAAAACACTCTACAACTAGACGCGACTGTACGCGGCATGCAACAGTTAAAAAGAAATAAAAAAAAAGACAATGAATTCATGTTCTACCGCGCCGAAAACTCCGAACCTCTGCCCACTCCTAAAACGCCGTCAAATGCAAGCCGCGAGCTGTATCTTGAATGGTGGTAGCATCATCCGTCACTCTAGTTGATAACCCACCCATTATACAATGAAGCCTCCGGGACAATTATTTCCAATCTACGCCCCCTCGCCAGGTTTCTTGGCGTTGCAACTCACAATCTTGACCTTGTCCGCTTGGACGGATTGGCTGCCGTTGTCCATCTTGAAGGTGACGTTCTTGATCAAGAAGGTCCACACCTCGTCGCAGAATCTATAGGTATCGAGGCTCCCCTACCGTCATCCTCCGCGTCAGCATCACTGCATATTTCGCGAATCAAGTCCCCGTCGCCGCGCGCTAGTACGGTTTGGAACCAACCTTGAATTGCAGCCTGCTCTTGACGTTCTTCTGCAGCGCTTCCGTGATGGCCTGGTCAAAGTTCCCGAGGATCTTCATCGCCAGCTGCGGGTTGATGCGCTCTTCGCTGATCAAGTCGTCGAGGGTATCTGTCAAGGCGAGCCCGATGCTGTCACCGCCCAGGTTAGCCTACATTCGAGCGTCTCGAACCTCCCAGCCGTCTCCCTTCTGCCACCGGACTGTTGGAGATGCGGTACCTGCTTCGACGGTACAGCTCGTAGAACGACTGCGCTCCTGACGCCATGGTTGCGCTATCCTGGCCTTCTTTCGTTCTGTTCCTATGTTGGAGTTTTTGATGTTTTTCTCTTTTGGGTTGTGCACACAGCAAAGACCCTAATGTTGTAATGTTCAAAGAGCTCCGGTGAGGCGCCGCGCAGGGAGGGGTGTAACTGCCTGGTCTGACTAAGCCGGTACGGAACACTCCGTACTGCGTTTTTAGACACATCATGTGACGTCGCTGGCTGGCACCTGGTGTCGCGGGCCTAGGAGAGCTTCAAGCCTAGGCTGCGAGGGAAACCATATCGCCGAAGCAAGCTTGTTACCTCGCGACTTTCGACGCGGTACCAGTCAAGACTTGTCCCCCTTGTTTTATTATTCGTCGTCGGTATTGCCACAACTTTGTCGCTACAATGAGTCTCACATATGGCGTGGGCGGCGTTGCGTCGTTTCTGACAGTGGTGGGAGCTTGTATGTTGTCCCGAGTGGTTGTGGCTTGATTCAGAGGCTCGCTGACGCTGTTCAAGATATGCTCTTTACCGGGAGCGGTGAGGCCTTCAATGTCGGGGCTTTCCTCGAATCTGTATCTCCCTATGCATGGGCCGATTTGGGCATTGCTCTGTGCATTGGATTGTCTGTCGTTGGTGCCGCGTGGTTCGTTCGCCCCTACCGCCATCTAGGATTTACTTACGACAATGCTAATGAATTTCGCCAGGGGCATCTTCATCACCGGATCTTCAATTCTCGGCGCTGGCGTCAAGGCTCCCCGAATTCGAACCAAGAACCTCATCTCCATCATCTTTTGCGAAGTCGTCGCCATTTACGGCGTCATCATGGCAATCGTCTTCTCTTCCAAAGTCGACAAGGCTGACGTCGTGGCCGCCGCGTCCGCCGAATCATACTACACTGGGTTTGCGCTATTCTGGTCCGGTCTGACGGTTGGACTGTGCAATCTGGTCTGCGGCATTGCTGTGGGCATTAACGGGTCTGGGGCTGCTTTGGCTGATGCTGCTGACCCGTCATTGTGCGCTCCCCTTTCTCTCTATAGTGGTTGCTCTGGATGGCCATACTGACTCGTTCCGATAGGTTTGTCAAGATTCTCGTCATTGAGATTTTCAGCTCCGTTCTCGGCCTGTTCGGGCTGATTATTGGCCTGTTGGTTTCTGGAAAGGCACCCAACTTCGGCGCAACTAGCTAGATGACATTCGAATGGGGGACGACGACGGAAGGCACCACAGGGGCATCTTGTCTCTGCATAATTGATGCGGTAGGGATACCGCTGGGACGGCAATGTCCCGCATGCATTATGCCGAATGCAATATTCGGCAAGGCGTTTGGAGGCTGAGTTGGGGGGGAACCCGTGTTTTTCATAGCTGTACCACCATCCCCCTACACTCGGAATTGTACACCAGGCATCAACTGACAGATAAGATCAATAGAGTTGCTTTGAACTAGAACTTGAGCTTAAATTGTTTGTGATTGAAGACGACCAAAGAACAAAAGGTGTCCCGTGCGACACTGACTTGCTGATTAGCTACCCCCTCATATAGGAAGTGATGGAATTTCAGCTTGTAATAAATACGTTTACATGTTCCACAAGTATTTAGGACGTCCGCAGAGCACCTATCAACAATGCACCTACTGTAGAGCCTTTCTTCAACTTCCCCGTGCCAGAAGGCATACAGACCAATGCATTCGCTGACCTCAAGCTCCCCACTTTGGAGCTCCTCTGGCCACCGGTACTGCTCGCCGTCAACACGCCGTCCTGGCCGACCGTCACTCTGGCACGGTGATACTCTGGTCTAGGGTCCATGGAAAATTCGTGGCCTAAAACTATAGGAACCTTTGGCAATCCTACTGGCGACACACCGGCTTGTTTATGCAACGACGGCAAGACAAACAAGTGGAATGTCACCAGTGCAGACGCGGGATTGCCAGGGAGCGAGAAGATGACCTTTGACACGCGCTGGCCGTTGTTATCCTTGACGGGGACGGTAGAAAAAGTCGTGGGCTTGCCAGGCTTCATCGCCACTCGTCCAAAGTGAATCGTGCCTCCGAGGGACCGCTCAATGGTGGGTTTCAACAGATCCAGCTCGCCCATGGACACGCCGCCAGTGGTGATGAGCACGTCTGCCTGCCGCAGGCCATTTCGAAGCGTCTCTTCCAATGAGCCAGGCTTATCCTTTGAGATGCCCAGATCAACGACTTCAAACCCCCATTCTTTGACGGCGGAAATGAGCGTGATTCTGTTCGTGTCCCGGACTTCACCTAGACGAAGAGGCCCGGCCCGATCATGTTCAATGATTTCGTCACCGGTGGATAAAATTCCGATAACAGGCTTTTTGTAAACCTTTACGGCGGCGACTCCAACAGACGCGAGAAGGCCGATTTCGCCTCCAACCCCGGAGATTTGCTCGCCCTTGTTGAGGATCACGGTGCCCTGGGAGACATCGCTTCCTACTTCGCGGATGTTTTCGCCTTCCTTGACACCCTCGGCTTGGATTTCTACTTCCTTTTCCTCTTTGCCGTCTGCCGTCATGGTTTTCAGTATCGTATCCTCCACCATGATGACGGATGTAGCACCTAGTGGTAAGGGAGCCCCGGTGGTAATCCGTGCGATTTCTCCTTCTGTGAGGGCCCTGGTTTCGCCGGGGGCAGCATGCGACACGGCTGTCACGGGGAACACTCCCTTCATGGTGCCATCTTTAGGCGCCACGACGGCGTATCCGTCTACAATGCTGGCGCGAAAGGCCGGTACATTTTCGCGAGCACTTACGTCCTCTGCCAGCACGGAGCCGATGATCTTGTCGGTTACGGGGCGTTCGTGGATGTCTGGATCAGGGGTGTGCTCGGAGATTAGTGCGAGGGCATCTTCCACCGAGATCATGGGGTAAGGGGATTCACGATGCCGACGAGTTGGGCCAAGAGTTGGATCGTTTGATAAGGCTGTCGCTTTTGGATTGCTGTGTCTGACGAGATTGCCGTGGCCGTGGCCATGCCCGTGGTGATGATGGTGATGATGATGGTCGTGGGAATGGCCTTGCTTGCTTTTTGAACTGCTGATCCCTGCGTCTGCCTCGAGTTTCTTGACCCCTCCGGCATGAAGGACCCGCGAATCGGCACCAGCTGCTTGTAAGCAGGCATGGGGAAGCGTTTTGACGATGGCCTGGAGATTCTCCTTGGCGCCTTTGGGAGATCCGGGGAGAGTGACGATGAGTGATTTGTTTCTTACGCCAGCTGCTGGCCTGGACATCATGGCAACTTGTCATGTTAGCTTGGTATACTATGAGGTTCGGAGAGGATCATTTACATGGTGTGACAGCCAGGGAGGTAGAGAGCATGGCGTGTACCAGTCCGGGGGCTTGTTTATGAAGCAGTGGAGCAATTGCCTTGAATAAACAATTAATGAATATCCTTTAGATTGACTGATTGGAATTCGAAACTCACCTCCGGCGTCCCGTCCGACACCGCGAATCCTGTTCCACCTGTCGTGATAATCAGATGCGGCGCATCTGCCCCATCAGCCCAGTGTATAATCTGTCTTTGAATAGCAAGCACATCATCGGATACTATGCTCTCCGCCATCACCTGCCATTTCCCACCTCCATCTTCTGCCAGCACATTGCGCAGAACAGAAGCGGATGCATCACTGGAGGGATCCTGGGCAGCCGTCGTGGAGACAACAAGGATAGCTGCTGTGAGGCTGTCCATTTGGAAGCCGGTGTATTCAACAGTAGCGACCAAAATATGGTTGGTATTCTAACAATTACAGCTGATACAACATGCAATATATCAATCTTCGGCTACACGGGGTTTCGTTGTTCGAGTCCAAGTTATGAAGCTGCATTCAAAAGAGGAGGGAGCTGTCAGCTGCGGGCCATGGTTGGCCCCACCTAACGGGCAACAGCGAACGACGCCTCATTCCCTATTCATCTTTTTGCATGGCAAACTCTGGGAACCAGCTCTCACTCGTCCGTTTCACGCGGCCCGTCACGACGGCTAGAATATAGCAAAGATGGTTCGAATAAAGGAGCGATATCTGCTCGTCAACATCATCTACCCACCCGACGCCACAAAATCCCCTGCTGCCAAAGTCCCCGATTTCGTAGTCCAGCATCAACCTACCGTCGAGAGAGTGACGCCGCGAGCTTTGCTCGAGGCGATTAGAGCCCAAATTGGGCTTTTGTTTGGCGATTCAGGTCTAGGCGCGTTGGAAGGAAACTTATCCGGTAAGCGAGCTTTAGCATCTTGCAGCGCGCTTTGTGCTAGCGCTTTGTGCTGTTTGATGATTACTGATGGGTTTGATAGTGAAATATTTATCCCTGGCCACATCTACATTTATTCTGCGTTGCCACAGAGCTCACTACCAGATACTCTGGTCGGCTTTGACGTGTATGGACCATGTTCCCGCCAAGGATGGACGGCCATGCATTTTTCGCGTGGTGCGAGTGAGTGGTACTATTCGCAAGGCGGAGGAAGAGGCCATTCGCCAGGCACGACGGCTTATTCTCGTGGCCAAGGAGCAGGCATCGTCAGGGTTGCAAATTTCCCAGACTCTACGGTTTCAGCAAGATGAATCTGTGCTGGAGGTTGTGGACGATGGCTCAGACTTGGACAATGCCACGAATGAGGATGAAGTGTGAGCTTGCAATAGGGTATCATTTTTTCCTAATCACCTTGATCCCGCTATCTGACGGCAACGACATGTCACCAAAGTCGGGATCCATTTGCGTTGAGGAATTTGCGGCGGCTGGTGCTGGCGGCGTTGCATCGTCCAACTCCATGGCCTGCTCTTCGGCAAGCCGCGCTTGTTCTTCCTCCGCCTCCCTTTCCATCTTATCATACTCCTCTTTCTGGTCGATCCAGCGTTCTTGTATATTCTGAACGTCTAGCATGGACGACTCACTCCGCATCGTCACGGCCCAGATGGTGTCATTCGCACCCTCGGCGCCGCCAAAGACATAGCCGCCTGCTCTATCAATAACACGAAGCAAATGCATCATGCTTTTCTTGTTCTCAACAGCAAGGACCTCATATCTCACTAGCCCATAGCTTTCTATCATATTGGCAATGGCTTCGTTAAGTCCAGCAAACTTTTCACTCCGCAGAGCAGGGGACTCGGATTCGAGATATGGTGTGAGATAGTTCAGGTCTTCGACATCAGTGTAGAATTCGAGGTTAAAGGGCAACTCGTCGTATGCTGACACCTTGTCGATCTTGGACAGCACGTTGACATGCGGCATGTCCATCTGGATCATGGCTCGAAGGGACAGGAGCACATTGGAGACATATAACGACGGTTGCGTTACGCATATGGAGTCGGATAAGTGTACGCAGACAAACTGTAAGCGGTTAGTTGCGGCACGCATATCCTGTAGGCTCATGGTATGACGTACCCTGAATTTAGACTTCTGAAGTTTGTAAAAAATGTTTCGCAGAGAAGTGTGATGTGTGTAGAGCTCAACTTGACCAGGGCAATCAAACAGGATATAGTCGTCGCCAAGCTCTTTCAACCCTTCCTCTAGCCACTCAAAGTTGTGCTCTAGCTCCTCAAGGGCATACAGTATGCCGCCATTCGGCCCAAGTCGGTCCTCCTTCATAATATCTTCTAATTTTATCAGACTTCGAATGTCTAGTGCACATGGGTAATTGGTGTGGTCGTTGGCAGGGTCGAGGTTCACGACAGAGCATGCCCGGCCAATGGCGCCCATGAATTGGTGCACTACAAAACAGTTCTTAGCTTCTCTTTACTTGATCCGAGACACTTCGAGCCAAAAAGACGTACTGCCATCGCAATAAGTGCTCTTGCCAGAGCCAGGGCTGCCGAGAACAAGCTGCGCAAAAGGCATCGCGGGACAGATCTACGTCGAAGTGCTCAGTAGCTCATGGTTGTTTCAGCTACGGAAGCTGATGTGTTTGCTTCGGTGCCTCCCGATTCTAGTCAGGTGCAGTTTTCGTGGTGATGGTGTTGTGACGTGTTGGCAGATGGCGGCATGTGATTATTTCGCTATGCACGTTCTGTCTGCCCCTCCCTCCAAAGCTTCGATTGGCAAGGACGACGAAATTCTATGACGGCGGCGGCAGGAGCGGTCGGCGGGGCTTTCCAGTGCGCCTGCCATGCCCTGGCCAGTGACCGCCCGGCCAAATGTCGGACAAAGTGGAGCAAATCGAAGCTCCAGCGCAGACAGACAGAGCTTCTGCCTGGGGCCGTATTTATTCTCGTCTTTCTCTCTAGCCTCCCTCCATGCTTTCATTTCTCACATTACTTGCTTCGTCTTGCTGTCGCGTCCTTTTGGCACTACCCGGGCTCGTCCGTGCCGCCCTCACATAATGCTGGGCCACAACTTGCTACAACACTCGCAGCCATGGCATCTGACTTGTCGAATGCCGCTCAAGTGGCCAGCAGCGTCACCTCGTCGCTCACTGCCGCCCCATGGGACCCTTCAGCAGCCCAGCCACTTACCGACGCCATGAATACTGCATCAGCAAAGGTAGCAGCTGCCCATGAGCCCACAGGTTGGCTCGGGTTCTTTGGGTGGCTGCTGTATGTCGTCTTCAATCTTACCTCTACCGTGCTCTACTGGGTTGTGCGTTTAGCAACCATTTCTATCCCCAGGCTGCTCTATGCCTTGTTTTCCAGTAGCTGGACGGTGACTATGAACGCAACCACGCTGTATGTTTGCCTTTCCTTTGTCAAGTCGACAGTCTTTTAGCTTACACGTTGATTAGCATGTTCATCCTAGTAGGTGTTGTTTCTGCCGCTAGTTGGGTTGTGAGATATCGCATCCTGAACATGTACTCCAGACTTCCACCCGAGCCCCAACGGAAAGAGCCTGAAATAGATCTTTTCCCAGACAGTCACGAGGAGGGAAATAAAGGAGGACTAGCAAGCTACCTTGATGAGTTCCTGAGCGCTATCAAGATTTTCGGCTACCTTGAGCGTCCAGTCTTTCACGAATTGACGCGCAGCATGCAGACCAGGAAACTGATTGCTGGTGAGACGATCAACTTGGAAGAGGAAAAGGGATTTTGTATTGTCGTTGATGGTTTGGTTGAGATTTTCGTCAAACCCGGTAGACACGAGACCACCCGTGAATCTTTGGCTGCCCATGACCTCGACACATCCAGTGACGAGGAAGTGGCCCCGGACCAACAGAGATATCAGCTCTTGACGGAAGTGCGTAATGGAGCTCCTATGTCCTCGCTCTTTTCCATCATGTCGCTCTTCACAGAGGATGTCAGGCTTCGCCTAAACGATGAAGCCTCTCCAATGCCGCCCAATGGGGAGAGTGACTACCGAAGGCATCGCTCAGTCGGCGAATCCGAAACACAAAGCTTTACACCTGCTCCAGCTTCTATGCCTAATACGCCTCATCTGGACGGGAAAGGCGGCCAGCCAGACGACAAGGATGTATCGGTGGAAGGTAAAAGCCAGCCGCACCCTGTAGGTGATCTCCACGAGTCTGGCTCCAACATCCCTCCCATTTCTCTGGACCCTTCGTCTCCGACGCAACCCCAGAGACCCAAGCTTCCGGGGAGAGTGGCTTCCCACTCAGCACATCCTGACATTATTGCTCGGGCCACTGTGGACACAACAATTGCCATCATTCCTGCGAGTGCGTTCCGCCGTCTTATCAGGATCTATCCGAAAGCTACTTCGCACATCGTCCATGTCATCCTATCTCGTTTCCAACGCGTTACCTTGGCTCATGCTTTTGATTACCTCGGCTTGACTGGAGAAGTGTTAAAAACGGAGAAGCGCATGACCAAATACACCGTATGCCAACTTCCCAACATCCTCAGAGGCGATGCCTTGTCAAGGTTGAAGGAAAAGTTCAAGCATGAACGGGCACGCATTGCTGGTGATGATGAGAGGAACGGCATCGCCTTGCATAATGCAGCGGCTACCAGGTGTCGCCGCTCTAGTAGCACTATGCTGCGCAGAGAAGCAATGCTGTCCTCAATGACCAAGCATCGACCATCGTCAGTTTTGGGATCTGATTTGTCCGTGGAGGAACCTCCTCAGACTCGCCAGCATTCTTCAAACCCTGGTGACTTGGCGAATACTCACGCTAGCCGAAATGCTGGCCATTCTCCCATCACACCGGGACCCAGTGCAAAAGATGTGACTAGTCCGCTTGCCCACAGGTCGTTCAACCCGTTCGACTCTCAACGGCATGCAAGAATATCCATGGATCCAAGAGAGTCCCTTGATGAAGATAACTTGTTTCGATCATCTATTCTCGAATGCATGTTTAAGTCGCTTGGTCTGAATGGAAGTGGTTCATCGTCACGTGAACCGGAATCAGTCGATGGCTCCCCAAGGCTACTGTCCGCAGATAACAGACGCAGGACCTTTGGTACAAACAATGCATTTGGGTTTATGGGGCCGTTCGAACTTTCTGGAGATGGCGAAACTGAGTCAATCACATCCGGTGGCTTAACTGTTCACACGCCTCCAAGTGCGCACATATTGTCTCACGAGATCAAGGACGAAGTGGAGATTGTCTTCTTCCCCAAGGGCTCTGTACTAGTCGAGCAAGGTGAACGAAATCCTGGCCTGTACTATGTTATTGACGGATTTCTCGATATTGGTACATACACCACGGAACAAGGCCCACAAAACATTCTGCAGACATCCGGCACCGCATCATTTAATATTGACCCAAGAAACAATGCCACTCGTCGGACTGATTCCAACAAGAACAATGGGCGTACCCGTCGCAGCGTGTCATTGGTCAAGCCCGGCGGATTAGCTGGCTACATTGGCAGCGTGTCGTCGTATCGATCCTTTATCGATGTTGTTGCCAAGACGGACGTTTACGTTGGTTTCCTCCCTCGAGCAGCGCTGGAAAGAATTGTGGATAAATACCCCATCGTGCTCCTCACCATGGCCAAGAGGTTGACGCATGTGTTGCCACGCCTGATCCTCCACATTGATTTTGCTCTTGAATGGGTGCAGGTCAATGCTGGGCAAGTAATTTTCCACAGAGGTGATGAATCAGAGGCCATTTACATTGTCCTGAATGGCCGGCTTCGTTTGGTAGCAGACAGGAAGGACGGCGGCGTGTCCGCACTTGCTGAGTTTGGTCAAGGCGAAAGTGTAGGAGAGCTGGAGGTTCTCACTGAGACTGTCCGACCCGGAACCTTACATGCTATTCGTGACACTGAGCTTGTCAAATTTCCTCGCACTTTATTCAACAGTTTGGCACAAGAGCATCCCAACATTACTATTAAGATATCCAAGATCATTGCCTCTCGTATGAGAGCTGCGGTAGAGGATCCTCCGAAGAATGGTGCCGAGGAGTTCGGATCTGGGGCCATCAACAATCAGAGGAAATCTACCATGAATCTTCGAACGGTTGCCATTCTCCCAGTTACAGCAGGCGTTCCGGTGGTCGAATTTGGTAACCGCCTGATGAATGCTCTGGCGCAGGTTGGACCGCCCAATGGCGCCACGTCTCTCAACCAATCGGCCATCTTGAACCACCTTGGCAAGCATGCGTTTAATAAGATGGGTAAACTGCGTCTCACTCAATATCTTGCCGACCTCGAGGAGAAGTACGGTCTCGTGGTATACGTCGCAGGTAAGCCTGTCGTCACTCACCCATTCCTTTGTCTCTTAACCTTCATGATGAGAAAT